TTAAACTCAACATTAACATAATAAAACCCGAGTAGAACTCGAGTATTTGATGACGTCATAGATCTCAAGATACAAAAATAAATAAATAAATAAAACGCAAAAAAAGGTAATTATTTACAAAAAAAAAAGACCAACAAAACATTTGCTCCTACCATTTATCATACAGCAAATAAGTCACAGGAAAAACTAAACTATTAGTTATTATTATTAAACTGCAAACGTGAAGAAACATGCAGCACGTCAAAAACAAAACTTAAACCGAAACTAGTTCTGGTTCGGTGGATTAGACCCGGTGTTACACCATACTCTGCGACCTGCAACAGTGCAACACCGCCCCCTATGGTCATACGGTGGTCACATAATATGACGTCACTACGGATACCCGACCTTACATTTTTAACCTCGATAGATGTCCTAGCAATCGATGTGTAGATTACTCGAGTACTCTGTTAATGCCCTAATATATATATATATATATATATATATATATATAAAGGCGTTTTAAACCCATCCCACACTCTTGCAATATTCTAAACAATGTTTCTAAATTCCAAACGCTCTAAATGAGCACAAAATGTCATGATTTCAGCTCCGTCTCCGCTGCTCTCTACTATATGCCAACACTCTTGGCCACGCCCACTTCTCCGCTGCAGAGCGGAGAAGTGGGCGTTTCTGGGGGGAAGCTCAGAGGAAGTTTCTCCTGCAGCTGTGAGCTGCACACAGGTGCAGCAGGTGCTAAATAATTTAAAATAATTTATTTTAAATAAAAATTCCATGCCAATCGCATGGCTCATCCATTAATCAGCGAATTTTGTCATGTTCAATCTTGCTTTGAAAACCGCGATAGAGTCCGCAAAAAAAGAACCGCTAAGTAGCGAGGGACAACTGTATTGTTTGTTAAACTGCATACTACTACTATAACAACTTTGTACTTGGATGAGTCGATCAATCTTTTGTATAATGGATGAGTATAATTTTGAACCTTACCTTGTTCATGTTTCCAGCTTGCTGGGCATTCAAAGCATGCTGTCCACCCATCGATGGCCCTCCTTGGGTAAGAGTCTCTGCCAGCACACTGCCTCCAACTCCAGCACCTACTTGAGGCCCTTGCATGCTTTGACCCTGGTATTGCATACCAGGACCAGGTCTCCCTCGTCCTGCTGGTCCCATAGCTCCATTCATGACCTGTCCTGCCTGGCCCATAACACCATGGCCCTGCCCACTGTTCAACATTGCCTGGTTAAAGCCCATTCCCATGCCTCCATTCCCTTGTCCAGTGGTTGAACCTCCTTTCTGGCCCTGGGGAGACTGGCGATTGGGGGAGCACTGGCCAAGAGGTCCTTTACCTAGTACAGCACCGAGCTGGGTTCCCACCATGCCCCCCTGTTGGGGGTTGGTAGAGTTGAGACCACCTCCCAAAAGAGATGAACTTCCTGGCTGTAGGAGCTCAGACAGTTGTTTGTGTTTGGCAACAGCATCAGCACCAACTGAGTGAAGGCCAGGCACTCCTGCAGCTGGACCACTACTGCCAGACAGTCCCATTCCCATATCTCCATTAGGGATAAGCTCATCAGGAAGGTCGTTTTCCAGGTCAAACAGAGACACAAAATCTAGCAGCAAGAGAGAAGAACATGGGAATTACAATCATCATTTTTGACACAGCATAGTTCAGTTAATATCACACATATCACCAGTTAAAGGGAACCAATTCACTCTCTGATTAGAATTTTTTTGTTTGTTTCAAGAAAGTCTATCAAAAATTTCTAATAATGTTTTTTTTCTATAAAAAACACTGAATTCTACAATATGTGATTTTATTTTTTGTGTATGCTTTTTTGGTAACACTGCGTTTTATCATAGACCACACGCATTTAACATTGGTTTGCTGCAGATCCTAGATCTGCGTGTTAACTATACAAAAAGATATGCCCTGCTTGTCAATATTATTGCCATATATGTGGCTGCAGCTACTTGCAGAAAACACTGAACTATATAGAAGTAATGAGGGTATCTCAAAATATTCAAGTAGGTTTTGAAACACAGACAGTACAAAACATTTTTCCTTAAACTTCTCACAAGGTTTGTCATATTGTAATATTTACTATAAAAAAAAGCAACCACTAAGGTTTCTGTTGCTGTAAAATTTTCTCATATTTTTGTGACATTTTTTGCACCTATAGAGTATTTTTTGTGGAAATGAACAAATATAGATCTACGGTAGCATGTTTGTTTTCCAACTGGAAGATTGCTGGTTTGTTCCTCAGTCCCACCATGTGTTGAAATGGCCTTAAAAAAATACACTATTTCCCATAAATTGGCTCCTTTACAGTATGCTAAAAAGTGTTTAATCGAAGGGGAAAAAAGTAGCTAATTTATAAACTTGTATGAATTTGAGTATGAAACATGTTAAATTATTTTTTAGAGTCCTCATATAAAGGAAAAAAACTTTACAATTTCTAAATAAAACAAAATTGAACATTTGTTATAAAAAAACTTTTCAAACACTGCTAACAAAAATTACAGAGAGTAAAGTACAAGTAATGACAATAAAGTTCCAATTTTTGGCAACGAAAATTTATAACTAGCACAAGTGCAACTTGGAATAAAAGTTCAAAACTTATTTCTTCTTTTGACTACCAATCAAAAATAAATAAATCAAATCTGCCAACACAGTCTGAACCAACTTCTCCAAAATTTTACGCCAATATTTGTAAAATTATATATATATATATTAGGGATGCACCAATCCACATTTTTTTTACTTTCAATCCCAATCCCCAAATATGGATATCAGCCAATACTGAGACCTTTCCAATATCATCATCATTATTGATTTTATACGAGGCTGTAATAATCTCCTCTCTACAGGCAAGGACAATTTGTACAAATATATGCATGCATGTCCAAAAAGACAAGTTTTATTAATGTTGGATAAGTTTCAAAGTTAGAATTAAATTCTAACACAAAACATGTTTTTTTTTATATTCCTAGCTTTAAAGTGGATATTAAGGTGATTAATTTAATGTTTAAAGTTATTTTATTTTTTAAATAAGGGGCGGATATTATAATGTTTTTCTTCTTTCTGCTCTCTTTTCATTCAATGTTTTTGTTTCTTTTTGATGGTTTTATTTTGTTTATTTTAAATGAACGAATTAAATTTAAAAAAAAAAGTAAAACTTAAATGGCTTTAAACATCTGCTAAGTTCATGGCATAAACCAACACAGACATGTTCCTGTTTTTAGTATTTTACGTTGCTTTATAATGTAGCTGTTTTTGTTTCGGGCTTGTTTTTTTATATATATATATTATTTTCTTATAATTTTCAATTCATATGCTTTTTTTATGATCGTCTACTGTTGTACTGATAAATTGGAGGGTAAACTATATCTTGGCTGCAAGTATTCAATCAAGCTACGAAATCCTTCGTTTTCTACAACTGATAGCGGGAGGTCATTAATTATGATGAAGTTTAGCAAATTCTCGGTAAACATTCGAGCTCCGTGGCTTCAGCGGTGTGTTGTTCTTGTTCAGTCTGAAGCAGGCAGTCTGATTTCGGTCAGCCGCACTCAGTCTGCCCCTCCTCCGAGAAGGGCAGACTGAGCCGGGATCGGGCTGCCTGCTTCGTTTGAGCGAGACTCGGAACGCACCGCTGAAACCACGGAGCTCGAATGTCCAATGTAAAACTAACTTTACCACAGTTTAATGTGGTGCTATAGCTCTGCAGACATTGCACATTGCTGTCTTGTTTTGTGGCATTTCTAGTGTAAAATACTTCCACACAGCGGACATGGTTAGATGAAAAGTTGGTTAGCCATTAGCCACAGTGCTACTGCACGTTTTAGCTGGCTGCAAACTATGAAATTGATTTCCTGAATGTGAGGCGTGTCTTATTACTCTGGGTTCATGAGACACGCTTCCGTTCAGGAAATCCATTCCATAGTTTGATGCCAACGTGCAGAGCAGCTGGCAAGAAATCACATGTTGAGACGTTTTACTTGCGGAGACACAGAGGCATGCATCATGAATCGGAAATCTCTGCAGGTTGGATTGGCAAAATTCGATATGTAAATTATGCTGGTATCAGAGCCAGATACCGATACTGGATCGGCTCGGCCCTATCCCTACACCAGATCCAAAAGTTTGTTGGCCAATTTTTTGCTGAACTGATAAAAGATAACATTAACAATTGGTTACGTTAGGAACATGTGCAAAATCTATCCTCCATGTTACACAGTGAGGAATGCTAACCAATGTTCTCATACACAAAAGGTCCACAATCGAAGAAGGTAAACCACTAAGTGAGAAGTAACACTGGAGCAGTAACACTGAAGCGTGGCTGCCTCTTGACTGTGGTGCTGACACACCCATTCAGCCAGACAAATGGGGGGGGAAAAAAAACCAAGCCTGACACTGGCCTGTGGCCACAGACTCAAACACATCTTGACACAAGACTGGAGCACATAAAAAAAAAAAAACTGTCACACATTAGCATAAACATTAAAAACAGCTAATCTGTGACTGTGAGCAACAAATCTGCATGCTGTCAGCTGAATCTGGCAAAAAAAAGACAAATTTGCTAGTTGTCTTATCGCCATCAATGAAAATGAGTCACAGCACGTTTTATAAAGTAAAACAAAATGACTGGGTGGTGGGTAGGCAGGAGCTTAAGCCGCAAAAACATTCTAAAATGATAAATATTTCACTGTAAATATTTACAACTGAAAATGAAATACAACTGAATTTACCACCACCACCACATTCGTGTATCCTTTGGAAACATATGTATGCATGCTCGACATTAACGTTTCAGTCCTCATTTCTTCATGCAATGAAGATTATGTGACTTGCCCAGTAACAAAAAAAAATCAATTTCTCAAAATGGAAAACAAGTTTGCATTTGGAAATAATAATATCAATAAATAAAATAAAGATTTAGACAAATTGTAATCTTGTCCAGTACAAAACATACCATTGCCCCTTTCCCATTAGTACCTTTAGTACTAGTACAGCACGGTTCGACTCGACTCAGTACACGTTGCATTTCCATTACACTTCCAGTAACGGTTCTAGTGGGCGGGTTCAAATTGACGTCACGTGCCTTACTAGCTGATGGCGGTAATGCTGGTGGTAAGACCTTTAAACAGGTTTTAGTACATGGTGATAATTTATTTTGAATTTTCTAGTAAATTTTTAAAAAATACAGATTATTAAAATGATCAAATAAACAAGATGTATATAAATCCTACTAATTAACTTTTAGGGTGCATTCACACTAGCCCTGTTTAGTCCTCTTTAATCGAACTCTAGCTCGTTTTCCTTGAAAGTCCGGTTCGTTTAGGGAGGTGTGAACGCACCATCGAACTCTGTCACGGAACAAAAAGGCGAACTCTGGCCCGGGCTAAAACCTAGGTCTCGGTCCGGTAGAAGAGAACTCCAGCGCTGTTCGAGTACAGTGTGAATGTAAACAGACCGAGCCCCGCTCCACAGGGTAAACAAACATGCATTTCTCTGACCTTATATGGAGTCGTCAGCTGACTTGTGTGGAAAAACAATATTCTCCATGGTCTTCGATCTCATCTTCTGCTCATGCTAAGTCCATTTTTGAAAAATGACAAAATATAACTCCTAAAACTGCTAAAACTTGATGCCACTTCGTTTTTATTTTTATTTACAGAAGGAGAAGAAGACGTGTCTTCAGAGGTTTTTGTGTCGTTTCTTTCAGTAGTTCTTGGTGCAGCGCCACCACAGGCGAGCGGGGGAATAGGTTGGTTCAACAGGTTGACTCGACTGCACAGTGCAGTGTGAATGCAAACTCACCAGCTCAAATGTAAACAAAAGGTCATAAATATTGGTCCCGAACCGAACCGAGTCTACCGGACTATCTGGTGTGAAAACGACCTTAATGAACTTTAGATTCCATTACATCTCTGATGAATCAGATTCTACAAAAACATCTATATTTAAAATTTTATAGGTTTTCTTCATCATTTGATGTATTTGCACTTATTGTGTCTACTTTTATTGTTTAATTTAGATGTGTGGTTTTGTTTCTTGTATACAGTTTGTTTGTTTTTTGTTTTTTTGGCTTTGCTTTAAAGTTTAATTCTTGTTTTTTTTTTTATTTGTACATCTGTGGGTTAGAATAAATTTGAACTAAAGGCTATAGCTCTTTAAACATATTTGAGAGAAATATTCCTGAGCGAGCCAATAATTATGTATTTTTATAATTTTTCAGCTGAGTTAACTTTAACAGATTAATGGTCATTAAAGTGAAAACAGGATTTCATGATAAAGCCGGCACCGTTTATTTATTTTTTAATCTTCACTGATAAAAAAAAAAAAGTTATTTAATTTTATTTATTAAATTTTATGGATTAAAAAATATGTTATTTTTTTAATACATAAAATGTTTAAAAAAATCGTTTTCACCCTCCGTCTCAGACCCGTCCCGGTCTGCATGTTTGCCGGGGCTTGGCCTTCATCAGCATGCGAGGCTGGGGCCTGGACCTGATCTCGCGTGCCTCTGCGTGTCGGCAGCTCGTATGATCCTCTGTGGTGGCCAGCGGAGCTCGAAGCCCGCAGACCACGAGAGGCTGGGGCCTGGAGCCC